TTCCTAACAACTTACAATGAATAATATAATACAAATTTTATATACCTTACACAAGCTAAAGCTAAAAATAAAAATAATTAGATAAAAATATAGAAATTATTACAAGAATTTAGTTATTTTTACCACTGTAAATCATCTAAGAAAAGAACTTTAAAAAGTATATCAAATTAATATATGTATTAGCTTCTAAAATAAATAAGATTTACATTTAAAGTATCCATATTGAAATTTATTTTTATTAGGATAAGTAAAGCATTAATTAACTTATGAATATGTTTAAAATCTTGAGAATAAAGTAAATGAAAGGATTCTTTAATATTTTATTTTATAAAATATTATTCAAAATTTTAAAAACAAGTAATTTACTTCTTATTTAATGTATTATGATTTATATATTAAATATAATATATTTTAAGTAAGATATTTATTTTTGAATATATATATATATATATATATATATATATATGTATATATATATATATATGTATATATATATATATATGTATATATACTTCAATAAATATATTATATATGTGGTTTTAAACATGTTTAAGGCCATCTTATTTTTATTTACCCATGAAACAATATGAAGTTCAGTAAAATGAATTGAATAAATCCTCTAAAAATGAAGCAAGAATAAAATTTTGATGCATAGTTTTATGTAAATAGTAGATTTTTAATATTATATTTTTACTTTATTAATCTTATTATATTTTAAAATATTTTTATGTAAATAAAAACGTAAGAATTTTTTATAATGTATTTTTTTAATTTTAAATTTAGAGCATGGCTTTATTGTTGCTGAACAATATAGTATTAATTAGCTAATTTGAAGTTAATCAATTTTTTAATCAATGTTTTTTTTAAAAAATCTATAATTTTTTTTTTAATTTAGATAATTTTAATTATTTTAAAAAACTATAATTCTATAGAACAGTTGATATATTTTTATTCTTTTATTAGTTTTTAAAATCTATTACTAATTTTGATTTCTATCAAAAGGCAGTGATATTATTTCTTTGCAAGTTATTTTAAAGTACACAATCCTATACACATAGGTATTGTTATATAATAAATTAGTTTAAGTTTGTTAAATGCTAATGACAATTTCTTCAAAAGACACATAGGTATTGTTATATAATAAATTAGTTTAAGTTTGTTAAATTCTAATGAAAATTTCTTCAAAAGAATTAGACAATATTCTACTTCATTTAAGAAGGACTTTTCTTTTAGAATGTAAACTAAGAAAATTGTTATAGATAAACAAATTAGGATTCCTTAAAAAGAATAATTACTTTTCCAAAAAAATCTGTTCTTAAAGATCACAAATATATCTAATCCATGCAATCCCTTTTTGTTTATAAACTTATATTTTATTTTAACTATCTATTGGTACAAAAAAATAATATTTCATTTTATTATTCAATATAATTTTAAAACCTCAAAGTTTCTCAACTTCTATAGACTTTAGATTTATAACTTTGCAACAAGATGTCAATATCGTTACTTAGAATTAGATCAATATGAGCAACTCTCATAAAAAATAATTAGCAAATTCAGAACATAATAATAATAATAATCATAACAATAATAACAATAATAAGAAAAAGAAAAAGGAAATGACAACAATTTGAGAACCTTTTGATTTACATTTATTTAAGAAGAATCTAATAAATTAGAGGTGACAACCCTTCCACAAAATGCCCGTTAGTAAACCAAAGCATGTTGCCAGTGAGGTAAAAGATATTTATTTTAAGAATGAAACACTACAGTGGGCTGAAATATTTCAATTTATGTATAATACTTACAGAAAGATACATTCCTGTTCCGAAGAGAATTAGGAGCACTGATATAGAAACCCCAATTAGTGCTAGCTTAATTGCAGCTCATCTTGCAAATTGCGTCACCAGTGAGCAATTGAAACTCCTTATGCACCCACTTGAACAATGACGAATAATTAGTCGTTGATCGATGTGCCAAAAGGAATGGGACAAATAATAATACAAAATAATTGAGTTTTTCAAGGCCACAACTCCAAAGTGGTCCAGCTGTGTCTGCATCACTTCCCAGGAGCCACGAATATGACCGAATTGCTTCTAGACACCGTCATGGTTGGAAGAAATCCATTAGCCCCAACCTTAGAAGAATCACGCTGAAGTGGATTAAGACTCATTTTCCAGGTTTTGGTTTACTAATTTTTATTAGCGGTTATGACGTTTCTCCCAAGGTTGTTAAAGAAATTACAAACCTATTTCCTGGAAGCAGATGAAGGTTTAGCATGGGATAGCTGAGGATTCTGCACTGGCAACACAAAGCTACGATAAGAATCTGCGTAAGTAGTGGAAACGTACACGAACACTTTGTTTGGCAACCTGATTGCATCTTTGGAAGAAGCGCAGAACGTCAGATCTGACGCTGAAAGGTTTGGGTTTATAAACTTTAATCGTCTGTGGTTGTGCAGGGCGGACGGAGATTCAAACCCTTCCGCATTAGGACTCTGAGTAGGTCAAGGGTGGACTTGGTAGGCTAGCACTTCGAGAAAGTCTTCCAAGCGCATCTGGTCACTGTTTTAACGATGATGCTTTGAAATGTAAATGTTCTCATAGACACAAGTGAGGCATAAGTATGCTCTTCCGCTGACTTGCTCTAGGATTGTAGCTTGCTACGATGGGAAGCATTCCTGTTACTGTTTCCGAGGTCTGCAGAAAATCTCTCTAAATTTTACTGAAGAAACACGCTTTAAACGAACAATTTTTCAATGATGTGGCTGCAACAGGAAAAAATTCGTTTGATTTACATAATTGCCTTCCCTTGAATCTTTGTCCACTTTCACTGGAATTAATGCTATGATTGCGGTGTTACCTGCACCTTGCTCTCAAGTTTATCTTTAAGTTCAAATTTTACTGCGTGAGTCAATTTTCAAGGCTAGGGCTGCAAATTGTCGAACGCAAAGTCACAACCATACTTCTATTTTTTGAAAATAATGAGAAGACGCAACGTTCGAGCACAGTGGTAATGCCGGGGCTCGCAGCAGTGACCAGAAATGTTTCCTATCACTGTCGTGTGTTGAATCTAGAATCAGAAGCTGTGTGCTAAAACATAGTCACTGGTTCCAGAAAACTCACTTAAAGCACAAGAAGCTGTTATTGCTGATGAGTTTCTTTATTTTCTTAAGGAACGAGTTCATTCTATGGACGTAGCTGATCCAACAAGAAATCACACATTGCAATCTTAGAGGTTCTAGAAAGATGTCAGCAATGATGTATACCCTTATCCATCTCAGCCTATCATATAAAGCTTATTATATTCTACTCCCATAAGTAGAAGTTTGCAGTAACTGCAACTGTATCTAACGTAACTTATGTAAGACTTACACAGCAGGTGGTACTCACAGCTCGAACACATAATCTCCGATGCAGTCAGCGTCAAATCAGCGATGGCGACGCTTCTGAAGAGTGGTTTCATGTTAGGTTATTGACCAGATATGCTGGCAAGAGCAGTGCAAATTACGCATTAGGCCATCTCTCCGCCTGCGAGCCACAATAAGATGCAGTCGATAGAACTCGACAAATTAGAAGGTAAATCCTTCATTCAATATCAATATGATTGTGTAACACTACTTCTGAGCAGCGCTAACAGTGACGATGCAGCCCTGTTGCACGGGTTAGCTGCGCAGTTGTAATATTTGCCACTGAGGAGTCAACGAGAAACATATCAACGGCGCATATCATCGTCTTTTGTGGTTAGACTTCAAAATTGGGCGTAAATCGCAAAGCGAAACTGCACGGTACCCTAAGCTGGATATCCTGCGGAGAGTTCGTTGGCAAATCATCTATAAAGACGATCTCGCATGAGGTCCGAAAACTTTGTTGCGGAATCTTTGAGTCAGACACGATTAGATCTCGACAATGAAAGAATTCTAATATGCGACTAGAACTGAAAGGACCACGAAGATAGAAATCGATTTGAAGACCTCACCTGTCCAGCAAAGTTCATTCGGGTGTCAATCCATAATCTGTTGCAGACACAGTGATGCTCCACCGTGTAAGAAAAGATTGCGGCCAACACAGTCTTCAGTTGCTTGAGATGGCTACGGCAGTGCGAAATAACGGCAGATCTCTGATGTAACGATTGATCGAGTCGTTGAAACTCTTGCAAACGACACAAATTGGAAAGAGCGTCCTCCAACGAAGGTGTCTAAATATCATATACTGCACCTCCTCCGGCAGTTTGGCCCACAAATCCTCCAATCTCGCCAAATCTTCTGTGCCAACTACGGTCGCATCCTCCCTCTCGAAGGCCATTGCTGCCGGCCCGCACATATCCTGGACCTGACCCAGCTACATGACACTCAAAACTATTGGCAGAAATCAGTGCCTTCTAGAGGACTTATACAACAATTCCACGGAGTTCCAGCAGGAGAAACAACAGTATCATGGATAACTCAAAAAGCACAAATCCTAAAGAAGAAGATTTCTTAAGCATGAGTCGTTGGGAATGTCGTTGAACGTGTCCATGAAAGTCCCTTGCAGAATTAATGCCAAAGTTATCGGGGCGGTGAGCTCGTCGATATCCACAAATCCTAACATAATCGAGTTAGGGAAAGTGCAATTTTTCTTGAACTGAGGTATCAGTGAAATCCTGAAGTTGGACGGGCATCAAGAAACGTTACACGCACGGCACAAGAACAGGAACTCATGCAGAATTCATATCGTAGTTCTAGGTCTCTGATGACTTCCGTCATTCAAGCAACATAATAGGAAAAGTTATATTCGAGAAAGACACCTTCTCACTCTTCGGCATTCTTACGATGGTGAAAGCTCACAACAGTCACCACTTCTGAACTGATAGGGTGAACTGCCATCTTCATTAAAATGAAAACATCTGACTCTGCTAGGGTCCAAACCATGCGAGGTCACTCAATTTTCCTCGAAAGAAGCGATTGCATTAAAGATCCAAATTAAACCATGAAAACCATGTCAATAGGAACTTTTTCGAAGAAATCCAAAAGGGTTGAAGTTTTCCTTCCGTGTTAGATGAGAAATTTCATGAAACAAGGGAATGATTTGCATAATGTGATGGTCTTTACAAAGTTCCACAACACAGAACATAGAATTCTTCTAATCTTGAAGATGTAATGAACGCTTTTAGAAACTATGAAATTTCCTGCACCTTGGCGTTTAGCAATGCAGTTGGAATGACAAAAGGGAAAATGAGGCTACTGTTCATCTATCGGTAAAACTCAAAGTCCGTGTCAGATTTCCTAACATTTGACCTATAGCCTTTTTCGAAGTCCTTCGGTAAAATAACATAGCGATTTTTTCGTACGGCATGCATGCCAGCCTCTTGACAAATTGCGGAGATCTGCACACGTCGAACAACGCCAATTAACAAAAGCCAAGACAAAGAGTACACAACAGGTTTATAAAAAGTTTCACCATGGACAAATAACGCACCATTCCCACATAAAGAAGATGTATCACGTCATGGGCAACAGGGACAGAATCATATTTTAGAAAAAAGTCAACTTCAAACACACAACACACTCTTCAAAAAAACAAATTCAAAGGAAGCACGCCTCTAGAGCTTGTAAAGAATTGGATCTTGTCTGTGAAACATCGCATGAGATTCTCACCTCAGCTGCACTTATCTTATCGGGTCTAGAGACGTAGTCTTCCAGGTCAACTTCTTCACTTAAATTCATCTTTGCTGTGCACACCTGTCATTTATCAAAAAAGACATCCCATAGTTAGTATTTGGTTGTATACCATAGCGACCTATGAACTCATTTGATAAGAGCAACTACTAAGCAGGTTCCACTCCTAAATCTAGAACACGTGGTAACGTTCAAAATCTTGGGAGGAAGAGGAAAAACACAGGTACCTGAAACACAAGGCGCTTCTGTCTCCTGTCAGGCAATGGGAATTCAATTTTACGATCAAGACGTCCAGGTCGTAGCAGCGCTGGATCAAGAGTATCAGCACGATTGGTGGCCATGATCACCTTCACATTCACAGTTTGGTCGAAACCATCCATCTGAAACAGCAACAAATTGTGAGATTGATTTAGAAAATGACGAAGTGCCAACCTATGTTTCGGCTTATTGGCCTTAAAGCAGCGAGCACCAAAAATGTTCAGGTCGTATTTTCATTCAGTGCAGAGTAGGCAAATTCATGACTGAGACTTCAACACAACTCTCGCATAGTTTACAATCGGACTCACTGCCACAATCCAACGTAGGTATCCATATCATGGATAGAATAGACTACCAAAAATCAGTTATACCTGATTCAAAAGCTCCATCAAGATACGCTGAACTTCCCTATCTGCTCCAGTTTGAGCGTCAAAACGAGCTGTTGCAATTGCATCAATCTCATCAATAAATATAATGGCTGGGGCATTCTCCTTCGCTAGACGGAATACATCACGCACCATACGGGGACCCTGTAATAAGGCTACACATGAGTTCAAGTGAAGCTGAAAATAAGCCCGAGGGTTTAAAATGATTGATTACCAGAAACGAAAGGATTATCTTGCAACATAAACTTGCTTTAAAACAAAACCACACGATTCTGAGCTGTATAATCTTTCATGACCTTATAAATCAGACAAACAGTTTCTATAACAACAGGAATAGCAAGAAAAAGACGCATGCTAAGGGTATCAAAGTAATGGCATTACCTCCCCAAGATACTTCTGTACAAACTCAGAACCAACAACACGAATGAAAGCTGCGGTAGTATGATGAGCGACAGCCTTGGCAAGCATAGTCTTTCCTGTCCCAGGGGGTCCATACAACAACACGCCACGGGGTGGGTCGATGCCAATCTGCTTGTATAGTTCATGATGTGTAAGTGGAAGCTCCACGGCCTCTCTAATCTCTTGTTTTTGTATATCACATCCACCAATATCCTGCACTCACGAACACGAATCGCTTTGAACAATGCATATAAATGGGAACAATTAAACTAAGACATCTGCTTCGTAACCCTATAACGGAAATCATTTTTCTGTCTTATAAACTCTCCAAACATGCTTTCCATTTGTGAAATTTACGTCACTGATGATCTCACTGAAAACTATGAAAAAATTGGGTTCTCATAGTGTGATCCTAATATGAAAGCTAATGTACGAATCAAACTTCCTCATGGGCCCGTCGATTGTCTCTCTAATGTTCATCAGACACAGAAACACGTATAGTTTCGAAATACCAAATACGTGTGAATGGACGATGGACACTAGAAATAGAACTCTTTCGAAATGCCACATAAATTGAGAAACAAGACCCGTGTTGTGTCACCGACCACTAATCAAAATCACAGCCATGGCAATGCGATGCGATCCGTGTCAACATAAACCGCAAACAGTGCGCGTTAAATTATAAACCTAAAATCCACTTTACCAAGACTTCAGACCAAACCCTACAAAAATGAAAGCCCTCTGAACTGAATTCTTGCACGAGCTCTCACCAAAAAATGCACACAGAATTACTCGAGTATCACCACTTTATCAAAATCTGCGTAAAGGATCTCAAGGCTACAGTACTCTTATAGAAAAGGAACTTCATTTTTCAATTTATATTTGTTTTTTGTAAGTAGAGTTGTTCTTCTAAACTCGTCAAGTTTCAAAAATTACGTGCTAAGAGCTATACCCGATACCTTGCGGAGTCACAAATTGGTGCAACAGTAGCAGAAATTAGGGGCGAACAAACTTACAGTATACGCTACATCAGGCTTCTCGGTTTGTGTCATTAAAGAGATGCTTGAATCAGCTTCAGGTGGCAGCACATCAACTAAGGCATTCGAGTGCCTGTGAAGCGCAACCGAGGACGATGGTTTCAACAGTTCCCGATTGATAGTACTGAGAATTCGCACGTAATAGTTCGAACCCGTGGTCGACCCGACAATCCCATTATTCTGGTCTACCATCTCATTGAACTGCCCAATCACCAGTGGCACAGACTGAATCCGCTTCACCTCCTCCTGCGCCCTAAGCAACTCTCGCTTCAAATTCTTCTGCTCATCCTTGATATACTCTTCCTGAATATCCACAAACTCCAGCTGCCGCTGCAAGAGCTTTTGCCTGGTGTACAGATCCTCCTCGTCGAGCTCCGCCACCACAGGCTCTGGCAGGAAGGACTTCGCCGAGAGAACAGGCGCAATGCCCGTTGCGGTCACGGCGGTGACTTCCATAGCCAACGACATGGCACACAAATTCGTAAAAGGAACAGAATCCGAAGAAGAGCAAGCAGAGATCAGTTCCTCGCCATGCTTCTCAACGGATTTGCTAATAAGCAAAGAGGCACCAGGCAAGCAAAGCGAGGCGTGAGAGAGAACCCAAGTTCTAACTTCCTGACAGACAGGGGGATGGATGAACAGAGAGAGAAGCCAAGCGAGGGATGAATATGCGTGAATGATGTAATGCTAAGAAGGGGGTGGGACGTTCATTCAAATGCCTGCTCCGGCATGATGCCTTTTCAATGCCTTTTTGGAGAACGGGCCACCCGCCTTTTTCTGCTTCACTGGGGTGGGTGCCTTTTCTCATCCTTTTTTCCTTTTCACTTCATGTGCTGACTGTGTGTTTATGTATTATGCAGATTTCTGAAGTTTAAAAATAAATAAATACTTTCCATTCAATTACCAAATAAATCATATAATGTCGTTTCAATGTGAATATATATATATATATATATATATATGTGAATATTATCTCTGGAGGCCTTTGCTTTAATGTTCATATTTTCTAGTATGTAAAATTTCAATATTTTTAAAATAATTTTTGCAAAGCATTTGTTCTTGTTTTATAATTTTATTTTCAAAAAGGTTGTATCTTGAACTTAGCAGTGTTTTAATTTCACAATGTGAATTTTGGAACTGCTATTTTTATATAAAAAAGTTTGATATAAAAAATCCAAAAAAATAAAATAAACTAAGATAAATTACTTTTTTAACTTTTTCTTCTTTTATTAATTTTATAATTTTTTTGCACATAATTAAGTAGAGTTTTTGAGGCGAAGATTTTAATATGGTTTTAAAGTAAATTTAAATTTTTCTATAAAACTAGAAATGAATAATTTTTTATTTAGTCGATGCTTCTTTATAATAAAAAAATAAAAATATAAAAAATAAAAGATAAAAAAACTTGTATTGAAAGTATTTTAGCATTTAATTGAATAATAATGTCTATTTATTCCAATGCTTGAATATATAATCTATCATGTATTATAAATAGATAAATAAATAGATTTTTATTTTTTAAAAAAAAAATTAATAACATTTATTTATAATAGAAAAAAAATTATATTAAATATTTTTTTTTAGTTTTATATTATAAAAATTCAAATTAATTACAAAGATACATTATTAATATCTTTTAATTTAATTTATTTTTTATTCTTATGAATATCCTTCATAACTTCATTATTCCTTAAATATGCTTCATTAACATTATTTATATAACATAATCTTAGATTTTAATGTATAAAATCATTGATCTTTATTTAAAATAAACTTATTAATAAATTATTTTTATTTTTATTAATATTTTTTAAAAAATAGAATGATAATTTATAATTTTTATTTTTGATATTATATTTTTAATATGTTAAATATTATATATATATATATATATATATATATATATATTTTAATTTAAAAATTAGAAAGTTTAATAGATTTTAAAAAATATATATCTTAATTTTTAATTAAAGCTTATGGTAGAAGATTTAAAATATATATATATATATATATATATATATATATATCATATGCTTCTAAGTAATAATAAGAAATTCTAAATAATTTATAATATACTTCCAATAGTAAGAAATTCATCCAATTTATTTGTAGATACTTTATATTACAACAAAAGATACTTCTATAATATCATAATATATATGTATATATATATATATATATATATATATATATATATATATATGATTTATTTTATATATATTCTTTTATATAAAAATCCATCTTAAGGTAAAATATTTTATATAATTATTTCTAAAAGAAGATATTTTTTGAATTATATTATGATTTATATTTATTATCATATCTCTTAAAAGTCTATGATTGAAAAATAGTAGCAGAGACCAAATTCTTATCTTTACAATAAAAATCACCTCAACCATCATATATGCTATTGAATTCCAAAATCTTGTTTGTAGCATGGATTAGAATGATAAGTCCTTATCAATCAATTTCGATATGAATAGAAAGATAATGTCAAAGATCTATTATTAACAATGTGTCAAGGACATGAATCTCAAAGAAAGAGAATCCTCAATACTCTCTTGTATCTCTGAAAAGAATTAAAAAGTCATTCAAAGATGATATAATATTGAACTAGAATGGCTATTGTCAAAAATAAGAAGACTAGAAAATCTTAAAATAAGACTAAGGACTAAAAAGGCATTGACAAGAATAAAGAATTTTTCACTCTTGCCTCTATATATATTCTTAACTAAGAGCTTTGTGGCAATATCCTATAAGACCTCCAAAACATATTGACTTTGTAAGACATATATCTTAACTTGCAAAGCAAGTTTTTTATATGTGCGCTACATAATTAACTTATTTTGTAAGCTATTAATATGTGGTTAATTTGTTGATTAAGTTTCTAACCTACTAATCAACTACAAATATATGTAAAGTCGAAACATCATCTATGAAGCTTCTAATAAGCTTCTCTAAAAGATATTATAAAATTAATCTACTTTTATCTACTTTTAATTACTTCTATTTAATCATGTAGATATTTATTAGAATATATATATGTATATCCATGACATTATCTCCCTTTTTAGGGACAAGTTCCATAAAGAGCAATCATCATGTATTGATGATATTTAAGATGCGGTAAATTATATTTGTCAACTATTTTGATCTTTGTTTTCTTTGAAAATAGTTGATAAGTCCTCTGAGCCATTGATAGTATTTCATACCAGGGCAAGAAGATCACCTTGTTATTTCATTGTTGTTGAGGCCTTCGTAACTTCTTTCAAATAAAACATTTGGATCATTGTGAAGAATTGTTCCTACCTCTAATAAAATCACCAAACATCGGGAGTCTCTTCCAAGGTTGTGATACCAAACACATTATATCTTGCCATCTATTCAAAGAAGGACATATTATTTTTGAAGATCTTCATTTTGAGTATGTCGTCTTGAAGGTTGTGACAATCACAATATCTTTTTTAATAAGTTAGCAAAAGAAAGCTCTTGAGTTGAATTTGCTCATTGTTAGTTCTCCATTTTCTTAGCATCACAAATACACAAAAGCTACAAAGAAGGATAGTAGGTAGTATATTATCTTCTTTTGATCTTATTTCTTTTATAGCAAAGATTTGCTATTCTTCATCTTAGTTTTGATGGATGTTGTCAATGAAAAGCCTCTACTTTCTTTGCTGCATTTGCAAGTTTCTTTGTTGGCTCCCATGGGTATTCATTAATATCATATCCATGCCAATGAATAAGATATTTCAACCTATTTTGGCATTGCCTTGAATTTAAGACTTCTTCTACTTCAAATTCTTGATTACTATCTACTTCTATAAAAAGACGTGGTATTTGTCTTCTTCTCAAGATATTCACTATCTTATATGGCTCAAAAAGAGATATGCAAAATATAGGATGGATCTTCATAAAATTCGATAGATATAATCAATAAGCAATATGATTAACTTATTTACTAATAGAAAAAGATTGAAGCCTACAATAGTCTAACTTATCACAAAGATGAGTAGTCTTGATATTGCGACAAAATAATCATATGTTGTCATCTACATTAAATTATGGTTGTTCTTTGTAATAGGCATTTGTATTAATCTTTTGTCATTCTTGATCTCCTTTTAATTGCGCCTTCATTGTTGTATGTAACTTTGATAAATAATTTGCCAAATCTTTTGCCATAAGATTATAAATTTTTAGAAAGTCAAAAATATCAAATCATAGATAATAACTATAAATGATAAAAAAAGATATTTATTGAGTAGAAGAATGTACCAAATTATTGTACGTAAACTTTGCTAATGATAAAAGAAATATCAAATCATTTTAATTATAGTTGATGGAATACCTCAAGTACTACTCTAAAATTTAATTCACCCATTCCATTTTTCCATCAATTTAAAGATAAAAAGCCAAAGAGAGCTTTATATCTACTTTTAAAATCTTGAAAAAGATTTTTTAAAATATTGATTTAAATTGAGTTTCTTTATCTGATATAATATCTTTAGGTAATCCATGATAGCGATAGATATTATTAAAAAAAAATCTAGTTATTTCTTCACCTATAATATATTTTGTATATGGTACAAAATGTGCCATTTTAGTAAAACAATCTACTATTACAAATATAAAATCATACAAACTTGAAACTAGAAGATCCGTTATAAAATCTATAGCAACAAAAGACCATAGTTGTTTTGAAATAGTTAATGGCTGAAGAATTCTATAAGGTCGATAGCAAGGAGTTTTGGATTTTGAATAAATATCATATGATTTACAAAGTCTTTGATTGTCTTTTACATTTGAAGCAACCAAAAATTTCTTAATATTAGTTTGAAAGTTTTGTTGTATTCAAAATGTCCAGCTGTTAGAAAGTCATGACAAGTTTAAAGAACACATAATTGTGCTCCATCTTTTGGAATGTATAATCATTCTTTGAAATATAATAAATTGTTTTTGAACTTGAACTTGGAAGTATAATGAGACTTTGAAGAATTATTCTTGATATTAGAGATAAGATGATCATATGATATATTTGATTGAATTTGCTTGACAAAGGTTGAATCAATAGTCAATGTTGATTTTATTGCTCGAAGGTGAAAATGCTTTGGCTTCAAGAAAATCATTCTTTGTTAATCAAAAGATGCATTTTCTTCTTTTGGTGTAAGATAAGAATATCAAAAAAGGGCGTTCAATAAACTTTATTATTTTCTGGGTTGATAAATAATCTTGAAATCATATCTTGATAAAGACATGCTCCAATGAGCTTAGTGTCAATTCAAAACTCGTGCCAACATGAAATACTTGAAGTTCCTGTGATCTATATATATATAGTGACTAGACTTAAGGCATCTTGTAAATAATAATGTCGTTTTGAAATAAATCCATAATTTCCAGGAATTCCCATTTAGAATAATATTACATCTAAGACAAAATTTGATGCATTTGTTTCTATAAAAAATACCTTAGAGAAGTCAATACAATATAAAATTGGTGCAATAATAAATCTCTTTTTTAAAGCATCAAATGATGCTTTGACTTCTTTACTCTACTTAAATTTGTCTTTATAAGTCAAATGTACAAATAAAGCTGTAACTTGAGAAAAATTCTTGATGAAGATCTAATAGTAATTAGTAAAGTCCAAAAAATATTATACATCTCTTATTTTTCTTGGAATCTTCTAATC